ACGTGTTTGAAAATCGGAGGGCTGGGGAGGTGAGCCGTTCACTTTAATTCCAGAACCAAACTTCTCTTTCCATTTTTTTGTGCCGCAGTTTTTCGCGCTTTGCTCTAGCTAACTGAACGCCTGCAAGCGGGCAACGGGCATTTACCAGAATCTTTTTATTTTATTTTAATTTTTTGTTTTTAGGGCAGGCGTGCATGAAATTTTCTTTTATAGACATGAGATCGAAGTTTTCGGCCCTAACACGAGATTCTTTCCTAAGGTCATGGGATTAGGCAGGTAGATGCACATAGCTGAAGACACCTTTCTGAAAATCACCCTACCTCGTAAGCGGCTCCGTTTATACTGAAAAATTATGTCTGAGTATCAAATATAGTTTGTGTAAAATATATGTTTCGGGCTTGGCCCTTCTTNTCTTTCTATTTTTTTGTGCCGCAGTTTTTCGCGCTTTGCTCTAGCTAACTGAACGCCTGGAAGCGGGCAACGGGCATTTACAAGGATCTTTTTATTTTATTGTAATTTTTTTTAGGGCAGGTGTGCATGAAATTTTCCTTTATAGACATGAGATCGAAGTTTTTGGCCCTAACACGAGATTCTTTCCTAAGGTCATGGGATTAGGCAGGTAGATGCACATAACTGAAGACACCTTTCTGAAAATCACCCTACCTCGTAAGCGGCTCCGTTTATACTGAAAAATTATGTCTGAGTGTCAAATATAGTTTGTGTAAAATATATGTTTCGGGCTTGGCCCTTCTTCAGTGAGTTGAAAAGGGCGAGCTAAAAAGGTTATTGAGACTGTACGGGCGCACCGATACGAAAACTCCGCTCGTGAAACACAGTTGAAAATAAAGAGCAGCGCCATATTGAAACTTTCGGGCAGTTTGCTGGCTTTTGTCGATTGTGCTCGTAAAACGGGCATACAAGGAATAACGCCGTTTAATTTGTAACCGCCGTTTTCTACATTTCTAAACACCCTGGTTTGATTTTGTATTAATTTCCGTTATGTCTTGACTTTTTAAGAAAATAGTGAAATCGAATTCGACGATGGCGGATCCAAGATGGTGGGTCAAATGACGTCCTTTGACGTCATATGACGTCATAATTTCAAAACACGGTATCACCTTGTACAGCAGGCTCAGGGCTATCTAATCTACGTAAATTTATTTCTTTGTGCCTTAACAGAACAAAAATACAGAGGAGGAGTTCCATCAACTCCCCTCCCCCATTGTGCTATGTTGGGGGTATGAATTGACTTAATTCGGTTTCAATAAACGCTCCCAAGAGACTGAAGCTCTCTGTACCACATTATAAACTGCTGAATTATCTCAAATGGATCTTGGGAAGTGCGCGGATCGACGACGAGGACGCCATCTGAGATGTTAGAGCTCAGTCAGCTCACTACCAAGCCGTATACGTGGAGCCTAAGACCGAGAAACATCACACCTACCCCAGGCAGCCCCGGAGACAACAGTAGCAGAGGTTTTAGAAACAGAACAAGTCAAAAGAAACGAAATTACGTCATTTCGTGAAGGTCAGAACTCAGAAAAGCCAGATGCTAGCTGTGCTACATTTAGTTAAAAGCTAAAAATTATGCCCGGTTTGCTAAATTATGCCAAAAATTACGCAAGCTCAATCGACAAAAACCTATTTTTTAGCATGTTCGTGACTACACGTTCGACCTAGACAGATTCTGCTCAAAAATGTTAAAAAGTTGCTCAGAAATATCCCCAAAAGTTGCTCAAAAGATGCTTAAAATCGCAAAAGTTGCTTAAAATTTTCAGTAAAGTTGCTTGCTGAAATCGAAGAGCAGCAAGCTGGCTCTGTTTCTGTACATAAACAAAACGAGTAGTCTCAGTTACAGTTTCTTGAAGACCAAGCAATAACTCTGGACTCATCCTAGTGCTTCCTCTGGCAGATGTTGTACCTGATCATCACGGATGCCTCAATGTAATCTTCTAGGGCGCTTTCCTGCTGGGATGAAAGGGTGCTGAGCAGACTAAATACCCTCTCGGCAGAGGCAGAGCTGGGTACGAGGAGTATTTTCTTTACAGGGGAAGCCCTAGATTGGATCTCTTTGATGTTGTTCTTCATCGGAGTCTTCATTGTAAGAAGAAAGCGCCTTTTTGAGCTAGTTGTACCATATTTGGAATAATAACACAGGATAGCCATCCTGGAAATGGGGTCAAATTCGGCATATTCACATTTGCAATCTATCAACACAAGATACCGATCAAAACACAAGAGTTTCTTGTAAATTCTTGTGAATTTCCAAAGAAAACGTGTTAAAATATCAATTACTTATGAATGGGATTTCGAAATAGTTAAAATATGCCAAATATATGCTAGCTTTAGAAAAGATGCTGTTAAGTTGCTCCCTCTCCGAAAATGTGTTCAGAATCGAAAAAGTTGCTGAAAATCGTAAAAGTTGCTCAAACTGTTGCCGAGCAGAATCTGTCTAGGCCTAATACGCGTAAGAAATGCCGCCCTAGGAAAGTAAGTTTATGTTCAGTCCGCTTGGTCAGTTAGCTAATTTGCGTATTTTAAATACTCTAGAACAAGAACAGATATTTGAAAATATTAAACAGCATTTTTCTTTCAGTACAGACCACATGTTTTAGCCCCCCACGCAGACGCTTGTCAGTTCTACCGAACCAAATTCCGTACGACTCGAGCTACCCGCGAGCAAATATCGATTACCGGAAATTTCGCTCGTCTCAAGCCCTCATCTTCAATCTGGTGTGGTTAGAAATCCAAGATGGCGGGTTCCAGCGTAGGTTAGGAAATAGTTTCTCTTTACCGTTCTGTTTTGTCAATTTTCCTTTTCATTCAGCTGCTTTAAATTCTGGAGTTATTCAAACTCAAGTTATTCTTCTTAACTACCTTATTTTAGTTGTTGTGCCTCGCAATTTTCGCTTGCTTGAGGAACTTGAAGAAGGACAGAAAGGCGGAGACGGCACAGTTAGCTGGGGTCTAGAAAAGGACGACGATATGTCTTTAACCTACTGGAATGGAATGATTCTTGGTCCTCCTAGAGTAAGTGAAGTGCCTAAAAAGCTACTGTTACTGTTTTGAGACTTAAGCGCTATTGTAAAGCGCGATTCTGATGAGTGCTTCTAACGTACCTTAGAATCTTTTATCTGCTCGTAACTCCATATGAAAGAATACGCTGCTGTCAGTGACAAGTTTATACTGTGAACTAGAATACCCGCCTTACATAGTAACGGAGTAGAGTTTTATATATTGCAATTTCAGGCATCATTAATTTACTTGGCTTCAATAGTCAACACCATTGTCATAGTATAAAATATTCAAGGAATTGCATGTTCTTTGATTGGCCAGATCTAATTTACTAATTACCAAACAGAAGATGGTTTTCCATGATCTTTAAAGACAAGTTGTTCGCATAAGTTCTAGATGAGCTGTTAGTGGGTGGACAAGCCGTTAAGTGAGTCCATTCTCCTTCTTATCAAGGCCTCCATGGTGGATTATTTTCTTTTAGAAAATAGCCCCAAAGAAAATATATTCTTTGTTGGTTTAAAAGTGTGTTTCTATTCAACAATTATTCGCCAAAGGCTCAGTGAACATTGGTGAATATTCATCAAGACAGAGTCAAAGTGAAAATTCACCAATGTTCACTGAGCCTGAGGTGAATAATTGTTTTAGTATAATTTTCAGAGCTGAGCAAAGAGAACTACAGAATAACGGACTCAACATAAAAACACAGATGCAATTGTTCATTTGCATACACGTATGCAGCCGTAGTGTTAATAATAAGCTTTCAGGTACATCGATTGTGAATCAATTTACTCATCCAGTTTCATAGTAAAACAAACAAGCGAAACACTATGAAAAGTAAATTCATCTGGTATCTTTGTTTTATCGATGTTGACTTCATTCACAGTTGTCATCATCATCTAAAAATGAGTAGCTTTAGTTAGAAGAAAAATAAATTTTGGTCATTCGATCTGACCTGCTGGCAATTAATGTAACTACTGTGTTTACGATTCTTAAATGGAGTAATGTCTTCTGAATAAATGAAAAATTTATTCAGCGAATGTCTGCCATGTTTACTTGCCGAGATGGCATAGGTGGTGAGCCTAGTGACCAGGCCTTGAAAACGTTATATTTACCGCCTGGAGCGGTGAATATAGATAGCATCATATAAGGAATCTCTCAACCAATCAGATTGCTGGAAACTCTTTGTTCCGCTCTGAAATTATACTAAAACTTGATAGAAACACAGAAATAGTTTGAGCTGTTGGTGTAATAATGGCAAGAGCAAAGATAACTTACATTTTGATGATCTAAGTAAATAAGCTGTTTTCTTTTTTTCATTGTAGTATTTTCTAAAAGAAATAGAAAACATGTTCTCCATGTTTCTGTTGAGTTAAAATTATAAATTAACACTCATGGAAGTTTGGGAGAACTTAAAGGGGCAGTATCACAAGAGGTCTTCTAAGTTTTTGTGCAAACTATGCTAAAAAAGGCATAAATTCAATCTCCAAGAGGTCAACGATTTTTAGTGATTTTCCTCCAAGTAGCATTGTTAAACTTGAAAACGTCGGCCCAACATTTTGGACCACTTCTTTCCTACTCGTCCGTAGCCACAACAGCTCTAAATAACTTTCGTGACTAGTANATAATTTAACACAGCTGATTTAATACCATTGAAGGTTGGAAGAAACATTTTGGGTCACCGTGATCTCAGCGATATATATTTACTTAATGAAGAAGGAAACTTAATGATCAGTCTTAATGATCGAGTGTAAAAGAGGGCTGTAAGTTGAGGCCAGAAACCACTCTAGATCTGCAATTTTGTGTTTATTTGGTCAGGGAAATGTTATTTTGATCAGGGAAAAGTCAGGGAAGTTCGAAAAGTGATGTCTATGGCAACCATTTTGTAATCAGTGGACTTGAGACACATCTACTATTCCTTTACTGAATTTTGCATTTCTCTGTAACTGCTTGGTTTACAGACACCTTATGAAGGCCGAATATACTCACTGAGGATTGAATGTGGCACAAAGTATCCTGTTGACCCACCTAAACTTCGGTTTGCCACAAGAATTAACATGTCTGGAATAAATGCAAAAGGCGAGGTGAGTCAAAATTCATCTGGTCAAGGACAAAATAATTATTATTTTAGTATAAATCAACTGGTATACTCATGCAAATGCTGCAATCTGATTGGTTGAGCTATCATACACTATCAGCCGTTAGTGTGCTGTCGCTGTAGGTTGTCTACAAAATGGCAACTTTTCTTGTTTATTGAACATTTTGGGGGGAACATATAGAAAGAAATGGATAAATAATAAAATTCCTGAGAATCATTGCTGAAAGAAGGAAATTCACAGTTTCTTGACTTACACGTAAGAACTCAAAATGTTGAAAAACCTGATAAATGTTAGGGCTGTCATTAAGTTTCAAGTCACCTGTAGCCTTGTTCTCCACACCTGTGGCAAACTCATTACTTTATGGGTGAATTATATCAACAACAGGCAATTGCACCTGTAGCATGAAGGGGAAATTAGGCATACTCAGCCGTAACAGGTGTCACGGGTTATGGCCCTTAATGAAAGCCCTGCATGTATGTACACATGTATACATAACTGCCGATTTCAAATGACAGGTCTTGAAAGTGTGAAATTTAATATTGTGTAGAAAAATAACTGGACCCTGTTGTTTGAAGCAAATTTCAGTTAGAATTCCAGTGCTTGAAGTGAACATTTGGGTCTGTTCTTCCACAACACCAGTAGGGTTAAAATTTGCAGGTCCTGGCAGCAAAGCTGCAGGTCACCCTTGTCATTTTCATTTTTGCATTGTGTCCACATGACCACATGGACATGAGAATTTTTGGTGTCTGTCTGCATTTACAATCCTGTGAAAGCACTCACTATTTAATCAATTTTGACAACTAATGACGAACGTTGAAGTGACAGTGGTTTGGGTTATTGATTATAGATAATTGGTTTTCACTAATTCAGATTCAAGACGTCTTCTGATATTATGTGATGGTGCTATTTCACACAATGCACCACAAATCACATCTGGAAAATTGCATAATTCGCAAAAAATAGCACAGTTTTAACATAATAAATCATTAGTATATCATTAATTTTGTGTAATTATTTATTGCCTCATGCAGGTTGAACCAAGGATGTGTAAGGTGTTAGCCACTTGGAATAGACAACACAGTATCAAAGCTGTTCTCCTTGAGCTGAAGAGGTAAACTATACAATCATGTACATTTGTATACTGGTAGTGCAGCTAAATGTGCTTGATGACAGCTGTTACTTATTTTTGTGGCATTTTATCTTTTTTCTTGGTACATGTAGTTACATTGTGTATGATAAGCAATTAATGACTGGCCCAAGGGAAAGAGTGAGTTTTGTTTTCCTGAGACTTTCAATGTTTTGCGAGGCAAAACCAAGGGGAACATTGAGGTCAAGGGGAAACACAACTCACTGTTTCCCATGGGGCAAGTCATCAAGTGGTCTTTGTTATACCTCCAAACTGTGAAGGAACTGTGAAAAACCTTATTTGCTTGACCCCAGCTGGCACAGCAAATTTGCTGTAGTTTCAAGGTGCATCACCTGATCACGTGTGAGTCAAAAGGTCAAGTTGTTGTTTACCTTGGGAGTTAGCGAGTTTTGACCCATGACACATGACACATTCTCCTCTAATCAGAAAAGATATTTGAGTTGGGAGGTAAAACAATTGCATTAAAGTTCTGTAAGTAAGAAAATGACTGACTCAGCTTTTGTTTGGGCCAGAATAAAGTGGCCATAGTAATGGGGTGGCCCTAAGGCAGGGTTCCACTGTACTGGATAATTCCATTAACCCGGGGTTTCAATAAGTTGTTCAGCAGGTAGGCATCAGGATATGACAACTGGGCAGAAAAAAAATAAAAGGTCTGAAGGGCCTTGTCAAGCTAGGGCAATTCGGAGCACAAAAACAGATAAATCAATTTTCATAATCTTTTACTGATCACATAAAAGAACAGTATCACAAAAATTTCTTTTACTATTCCATAATTACCAGCTTTTATAGGTTTGTGGCAAAAAAAAAAAAAAAAAATTGCAAGAGTTTTTAATGCTCTGCTTTTTTAATTACTTGGAATGAAAAAAAATGTGCCTTTAGCAAACCACACAAGCAGAGTTTTGATTAAGAGACTTTTGTGATGTGCAAGTTGGCTTCTTTCCATCGTTTTAAAAATGCATTAATAGCACAGAATAATGCCCAGGAAAATGATGAAACAGAGCATGACATTATGTTTTTAATTCAGTGCGAATAGGTTAATATAGAGTTTTGTCTGCTGTTTGTGGAAGACTGAAACTTGAAACTCAAACCAGTGGCGAAGAAATTGGTCACGTGCTAGGCAACCAGTGAAAACAGCAAAACAATTGAGATGGCAATACTGTTTAAAATTTCATAACTTTCTAGGGCCAGTTGGGCCAGGCTGAGCAATAATTTTATGCTTCCTTCACACTTTGTAGAGAAAGAGCCAGAAACAGAAAAAAAAAAAAGAACATTCCCAGTTATACTGAATTTTTGGAACTCTTTTGCTAGTTTTGCCAATTTCAGACCATTTGCTGTTGCGGGGAAATGCCAAAGTACATTCAATATTTCATTATGCAAGAAAAAAGTTTTCAACATGAAAACAGTGCTATTCCATCAAAACAGGCTCTTTTGTTGAGGTTTATAAATTAGTAATTATAATTCACTTGTCCTAAGCAAAATTATCCACGAAAAACTTTTTACTCCTAACTTGACAGCACTACAGTACTTTTGACGCAATGTACAAATGTAGGCCTAGTTCACCAACCATCAGGACACCACCCCTGCCACATACATGTACATGTACATTGAACGCTACCACATTATAATAAATGGGAAATAATCATCGATGATGAAACGTTTACACCTTACCTGGAGGTACACATTTACTGTGTCTGGGCTTTTACATTATTAGTTGTAATTAATATGAAACTAATTGTTGTCATGGCCAAGGTCTGCCAATAGAATCCATGACAATACATGTAGAGATAGAGAAGAGGTTCGTTTATAGGCTTACTGAATTAGGTTTGGCTGTTGGTTTTTTCTTGCAGAATGATGAGTCTAAAAGAAAATTCAAAGCTTTCTCAGCCACCAGAAGGAAGTACCTATGATTAGAACATCTAAATTAACTTTTTACCTGTTTTGGCATTTCTCAGTTTAGTGGCAGTGCTGTGTTGCAAAAAAACACATTGCAGAGGCCAGGATTTGCATGTCTTTTTAAAAGTAATTCAACCCTGTGCATGTTTCTAGGGGAACTTGTACAGCTCTTAGGAACCTGAAAGGACTTCAATCTTGTTTTTGTTCCATTTCCTGATGTTTTGAGTCAATTCTTGATTCCTTCCTGAAATACGTTAAGAATAACAGTATATTTACAGTGCCATGGAGTTGATCAGCAGTCGTGTGCAGTGTCTTTACGCACTTGCCTTTCACGTGAAGCTACTGGTAGTCACAAGTTAGCTCACAATAGTTTTTGTTGTAAACTGCAGGATATATTCTCAGCTATACTTAGCTAGGATATTTTGGTCATTTTTCAAAACAAATTTAGAAAGTTGTATACTTCTGTTACTAGTGTACTTGTGGGTTGTTTAATGGCTGTTTTGTGCTACATGTATGTGAGTTATAGTGAGACTAATGTATTAAAGTGTTGCTTTTTCAGTTATTTTGTTTTTCAGTTTAGTATTGTTAGTAATAGTCAGAAGATAGGTAATTGTTATAGATTCATATAAATGACTGGATGTGTTTCCTTTTAGCCATGGAAACTAGTTTACACTGCAGGATTGATTCTCCAAATGTCTTTTTGTGAATCTTTCTGTTTTTGACACAAGGTTCAAGTTCTTTCTTTAAAGAAGGATAAGAAGGTCAGATTTATCAAATGATACAAAAGGAAAATGTCACTCATTTTTGCCGAGAGCCTGCAATCATGCAGTTTAAGGTTGCATAATGCTTCTAGATCACCATCCAATGTATTGCAGTATCAAGTGGATGGTGATTTACATTTGTATCTGCTTGGAAAGTGTTTTCCAACCAGTGAACAACCAGAGCCAGTAAACCTTTCATTCATACGTACAGTTGTACAACAGACAATCAAGTGACTTGCCAAAGCAAATCCTCTGTAGGAATAAAGATGGTGACTGCTACTTTGTAGTGCACAAAAACCTTACCAATGCACAGTAAACCAGACCACATGTACAGAAAAGTTCCAAAAACTTCAGACTTAGCGTACTCAATGTCATTTCAGGGACAAATATTGCAAAAATATGGTTTTCTTTGTGCTTAATGGCCTGTGTTGGGTTTGCAAGTGACTGTGGTAAAATGTACAGTCGCCATCTTTGTTTTCTATGGAGGACTGCGGTAAATGAACAGATGTACACATAAAAATGAGATTGCAAATGGCTGTTTCACAAACATCATGAAGTATGTCACCATATTATGTAATAGCCCTTTCGCGGTTAATTTTTCATAATCATTTGTATAAAAATATGTTCTACCCTGAGAGGCAATTCTGGCCAATTGTGTGATTTTGGTTTTTTTGCAGTTTTAATTTTTAGTACTATGCAGATAAGAAAAATGAACTGTGAAAAGGGCTAATAATGTAGTGACCTGACGCTAAGGCTGGTTTTCAGGAAGATGCCACAGGTGTGGGTAGAAGCACTAGCATATGCATGAGCATAAACATGAAGGTCCTCACAGTGGACCATAAACATGAAAAGAAGGTGGAATTGATTTATTCACGAGGAATCACACAGGCAAGAGCTTCAGCAAAAGCAACAGAAGATAAAAGCAAGTGGAAGTTGACATGCCTGTCTGTGCTCTTGTTTATGACTCCTTTTGGCCATGTTTAACATACCAGAATTCTAACATGACCCAGAGGCTTTCGGCCTAAATTGTAGATTTTCTAAGATTCTTTTGTCTTGTAAATCTCATACTTGATGCAAAGAAAATATATATAAACAATAGCCTCCATTTGATGCGAAAATATGCTAGGATATTTGTCTGCGGACATTATCTCTTCCGAGAGGCGAACAGTTTACGCTCGAGAAAAACTGTGAGCTTCAAGGAACAGATAATGTCCAAGGACAAATATCCGAGCACATTTTCGCGCAAAATGGAGGCTATTGTGTTTATTATCCTTCAAATATTTTTCGCAACACGCGCAGTTTTGAAAATTGGGGAACAATCGGTCACGTGACGTGTTTAGACAATCGCACGCAAGCGAAAATATTTGATGGATTGTAAAACCAAATATGCCAAAGTTTGGCAGAAAGCTTCGGTACCATGTTAGAAACGTGGGCTCTACTGCTTTTTCTTATGCAATTTTCATGCTTTTGCTTCATCTTACGCTCGAGTTGAGCACTTGTCAAATCCAGCCTGTCAGTACTGTTTTTTTTTTTTTTGTCTTTGAAATGTAAACCCTGCAACCTCTCTTATTTTCAATTCTCATCATGAACTGATAGAAAAATATCGAGACATTTTCAGGAATTTTTTCTCATGATTAGATTTCTTAAGTTTTATAACAAATTCAAACTGGCAGTTCATGAATTCAAAGCCTTTTTCATTCCTTGAAAAATGTCCTGACCGGCGTCAAAATTCTCCCAAGCTGAACTGTTAATAACAGTGTAAAGTCTAATGAGAATTTTGATACCGGCCATGAGTCAAAGTCTGTGCTGGTAATATACCAGCAGTCCTCCATTTTGTCTTGGCAGAATGTCTGTCAAATGTTTTGCTATGTTTCGTGCGAGTGTTGTCTTCCTATGACTAATATACTTTTAAACTTTGAATTAGCAAGAGCTTATAGCCATATAATCATGTGTTATAAAGTAGTAATATTGAATACTGTAATTAAAGATACTCTTGTGAGAAAAGTTAATTGTCAGAGTGTCTTTTTATGTTGTCGTGTTACATGTGCCTTTGTTGTTAAAGTGAACGTTTTGATCCGCGAAGCACTGTACGTAGATCTTTATCCGATGTTGCAGTACTAGACGATTCTCTGTGAAGGAATCCCTCTGTTCTGCTGTGCAGGACGACGTCCTGTCTTTCTGTGTTTGCATGCCTTATCTTTTACTTATACTGCCAGCGTGCGTTCTCTCTACCACCAAAATATGTTTAGATGTTGGTTCCAATCCGTTCACGCCTGAATGTTCTTTTTTTTCATGCTTTACTTTCACACTTAAAGGTTGTGCACAGAACTGTGATGATCATTCTTGTCTTAACATCTTTCTCCGCAGTTCAAGTAGATACTTGGTGCATTGTTCACCCATGAAAGTTGTTCGTTCTTTACAGTATTCGCATCAAATCACAGACGGTTAAATCGACAAATGGAGCTTGGGATGGCTGTTACATTTGTTTGTCGCATAGTTTAATCTCACTTGGCAAACGGTACTTCGGGAAAATTCCTTTTCCTCGACCGTTGTTATCTCAGACTTGGACGGAACTGCATGCCTTATGAGGCAGTTAGCCCAGCTGTAAGCACAGGTCTATAGAGCGTTTTCACATGACGTCACGGCAGCCACATTGGTGCTCCAAAACAATGAAACGGCGGCCATGTAGGTGTACCAAACCAATCCTTTAGGAGTTCAACTCTTTTCCTATGTAGACAGTTTCTTTTCCAATAAATCTGCATGGCTGCTGGTCACGTGACTGAAAACGCTCTTTATACAGTTAACACTTAATGACTGGTCCGGAGGGGAACAGTAAATTTTGTTACCCTCGAATCTCAATGTTTCCCGAGACGAAGTCGAAGTCAATGTTCCCCAAGAGACAAGTCATTAAGTGATTTGTTATATAGCAAAAAAAAAAAGGGTCAAACCGGAGGAAAACAAATAATCACTTTATTGACAAATGACGTG